CCCCAAAACCCCAAAACCCCAAAACCCCAAAACCCCTAAGAGTATAGAATGGAAAATTCTAGCAAATTAATAATCATCATAATGAATTAAATTTCTAAAAATACACAGAAAAATACATCTCAGGAGGTTGGACCCTAAATTAATCATAATCATGATAGCAAGTAAGGATAGAGTGAGATTAATGACTTGTCAATAGCCAAGGAAAAGAAGTAATAAAGCAGACAGATAATTTAATGATGAAGTATTTGAAAGACCACCATAGAGTGTCATTGATAATTTGTATTGCAGGTGTGATTGGATTATACTCTTACTACTCCTATTTGCAGGAATTATTGTATTATCATTGAGTTATAAAGCGTTTGAATAGGCTGGCAGATAAATCTAGAAAAATGAATGTGAATGTAGTCATTGGCTTTTAAAATATAGTCGCTCTAGCTATTTCAACAATGAGTAAGAATTTTACAAGCAATTCAAATTGAACACGCGTTTTTAACTTTAAACTACCTTAGTTCTCAAAGCAACCTACAAGCAGTCACTAGCCAATTGTCTAACTAGAGGGGACTTTGTTGTTGGATTCTTATGTTTTGGATCAATCTATTGCAGTAATTTCGCTCTTAAATATGTGAATTATCCATTCGTTGTGCTATCGAAGTCAGCAAAAATTATGCCTGGTAATTTACTTTAAGATTTGATTCTGCTTTAGTTATCATCCTGGGTTCTATAAGAAAGGTCTACACTATGCACTATTCATAGTATCTCCTAGCTGTATGTATTTCGGCTGGATTAATTATGTTTAATTCGAATAAGCTTAAGAATCTTGAGACTGATAATCTCGTTGGCATAATTCTCGTAATCTCAAGTTTATTCTTTGATGGACTGACTTCCTCTTAGACTGACAAGTAACATAAAAGTAGTGGTAGAGACTATGCTTACTCAATAATGTTTAGCAATAATTTAGTTCAGCTTTTCTCAAATATAGCTTTCTATATTCCGCAATACATGTACTAAAATGATGAGACTATTGAAAGAATTTTTAATAATAATGAGAACTTAAAAGATGTAATAATGATTGGAGTCTCAGGGGCACTAGGTTAGATCTTTATTTACCTAACAATTTCCCTTTTCAACAGCTATCTATTGACTGTGATTACAACTACCAGAAAATTATTCTCAGTTTTGTTATCAAATTTCTCATTCAATCATCACTTTACCCCTATTCAATGGTGTGGTGCTGGTCTTGTTATGTGCTGCACTTTTGCAGAATTAACACTGGGAAATGCTGGCAAAAAACCTGCTCATAAAAAGAATGATGAAAATAAGAAAGAATGACTTAGTTTGTAGATTTGTCTTTAAATTAATTCCTATCATTAGCTTTTTAAATCTTTGACTAATTTTACTTACATGGGGTTTTGGGGTTTTGGGGTTTTGGGG